ATAGACCATAAAGCGAAGTACTCTAGTAAGTACATTCTAAGACACTAAGTACTAAGTAGGTAGGTACCTAATTATGTAATAATTAAATACAAAACCCATACATTCACCATCGATATATAAAATAGTTTAATCCTGTTTTAATCCTTGAAAATAACCTCATTGTAGTAACTATATAATTATCATTATAAAAGGTAAAAAAATATTTAATTTTACATTTTTAAAGAATTTATTTTTCAAAAAATGCAGATGTTGTTTTTTTAAATATTATTCTTTATAAATTTCATAGTAAGTATTTTTCTCTGAAACCCTTTTAGACGTTTTAGTGATCTATTTGTTTTGAGTGGATATGTTTAATAATATGTTTTATCGGTATAACGTCCTGAGTTGTGTTTATAAAAGTATAAGACAATATTAAAACAAAAACATAAAATGCCTTCAAAAGTTCAAATATAACAAAAAGCGTCAAACTATTTTGAAAATTATACAACGTATAAAAAATGCTTACATAAATAATATCAACAACAAATATACATTTTAAATATTTACGGTTATTTGTTTTGGAATTATAACAATATAAGTAAATTTAATTTGTGAAAAACTGGTTTTTTCCTGATTTTTCAAAATTTCCGTTTTTCCTTACACATTTTTTTTTCTCAATTATTAAGAAAACTATTGCGAATTTTTTTACTTTTGATCCCACAATGTAGGTAGCAACTAGCAACTAGGTACCTTCACATTCCTACCAGAAAAATTATTGAGATTAAAAACAGATGCATTTTTTCTACTACAGTTAACTAATAAAAACCTGATACTAAAGACTAATAAAAGGTATGTTTTGGATCAGAGGTTCTCAAACTATGGTACGCGTACCACCATTGGTGCGCAGAAGACTACATGTCGGCACCTATGCGAAAGGCCACAAAGTGATGGAACGGAGAGTAAATAAATGAATATTTTAAATTGTATTTGAACATGATCACATGGAAATGGACACAAGTGGTACACGACAGATTAATAACACACATGAGTGGTAAGCGAAAAAAGAGTTTGAGAACCGCTGTTTTAGATATTTTTCTACTATAAAAACTAGTATAGTCAGTTGGGCCTTTTATCTTGTTGAAGAATGATTAAAAAAATATTATAATATATCTACACACGATACACCTAGATAATCAATATAATGGCAGATATTTTCAGTTTTTCTCCATTGATCCCACCCACCATAGAAAACTTATATAAGCCAATGCGCGTCTGCATAGATCGATTACACTATCAATCATTATCGAATCTATTATTCTATCATCAAGGTCCAGGTATTTTTTCTTTGTAATAGGGCCCCCTTATTTGTATATATAATATACTAATATGTACCTACCACCTGGATCTAAAAATCGTAAATCAGGCCCTGTAGAGTCATATATTTATATAGATATATTATATACCTATATGTATTAAACTTAACTACTTTATGGCCGTTCAGACTTTTTATCCGCGTCCCACGAGTATATATAACCAGAATAACAATATATCATTGTTGTAGAGAAATAGTGAATATAAAATAAATTAATTATGGGTACCTACATATTTCTCGTGCAGTAAGCCGGTACCTAATGCAGTAGGTAATGCAGTATTTATGTTATTATTGAATTGCAATAGCAGGCAGGTTCCATCCGTATACTGCAATAGTGCAATGTATAACGCGTTTGATGCGATTTATGTATCGTTGCATTGAGTATTTGCAATTTAAAGTTCAACCACACGACGATAATAATCGCTGCCCACGTATTTTTCATGGTACCAACTGTCGAGTTTACCAAAACATATTAATCAATATTAATTATTGCCTATGCAAATTAATATCTAATAATGTACAATATATTCGATGGTAAATGATGATGGTGACGATGATTTTAACTTTTAAGTACCTACTATATTATTTACTATTTTACTCCATAGTTCTTATAGGTACTTGTCGTTATGCATTGATTTGTATTACTTTAATGATTGATACTCTTTAATAGGTTTTAATTCATTGAGCATGTATCCACAGTCATGAATTTAGGGTTTTTTTTTAGGATAGTATAAAAAATTCAATTTTTTAGTGGCCTCTATGGATCTATACTTAATGCTAAAATTAGGCATTACCTATAGCATACGTAATATATTATACAATTATAGTAACACTGTATATTTTTTAAATTTATAATATGAAATCTAATTTTATTTTGTAAGCAAGTACTTATTCAATAGCTTCATCTGTATTCTATAGATAGTTGATGGTTCTGTGTGGTGCCACGATAACAAGGCCAACCCTTAAGCTACGGAATGAGAACGAGGTTTTTATCATTATTTACAATAATCAATTTATGTTACCAATAGAATTGATTTAGTCGTAAATTGTAATCATTAGATAATAGGTAAAGGTGTATTATGAAGTATAGGTACCTATGAAAAATTTCATAATTTCACTATTTCGTCATCAGATGTTCGCTGCTTAATATATTTTCAATCATTCGATCGACCATCGTATAACCGCAAATCGAATAAACTTGTTGATAAATATTTAAAAATGTATTTTATTATGTTGTATTAAGTATATGGTTCCTACCTACAATAGTTACAAAAAAAAAGACAAGGGAGTCCATCCCCATATCACACCCATATAATACAGCATTTTGCCTTAGGTACTCGATAATATTAATATTATAACGTACCTATAGCCTATAGTCTATACCTTACAACTGACAAGTGATTTAATAATAACTAATTAAAAATAAGAATATTGTCAGCATATTCGAACTGTTCTTTCGTTAGATGTTTGTTTCATTATTGAATCTCTAGTTCAATTAAGATTATCCAATATTGAATAAATTAAGGGTCAATATCGCTGACTACCTACTAAATAAAAAGATTGTTATTCTCCATCCACATATCATTTTGTGTGGGCTAACATGCATAAATACAATAAGCGAAGGTATAGTACCTACCTATAACCTATATCATAATATTTATGATTTCTAAGAAATAAAAAATATATACTGGATATTATAATTTATAATCATTGTCATAACTAATAATTAATAACTGTAATTACTTATTCGATTTGTTATTGTCAAATATAATAATTTATTCAATGTTACATATTGCACTCATATTGTAACTATTATGCAAATGTTGTAAAGGTAGCAATTATATATACATGTGCATATATTATACTTTTATTGTAAAAAAAAATAATTCCTAGGTAGAAGACTGTTGACATCTGACATTATATTAAGTAAATTATATTTGAATTAAAACTATCTATAGGCTATATATACCTAAGGTTAGGTATGGCTGTTTGGATTCAGTTGAATGTCCCTTAACACATATAGACTATAGTGTATAATATAGATATATGGCATACGCCAATACAAGGTACTTACAAGGGCGGATCCAGAATCTCTGTAAGGAAAGGACAATTAAGTTGAAAACATTTTTATGACGCTGATTTTAAATAATTAATGAAAAACTTTATAATATTTTTTGTAAACCCTAGGGGTACTTGCCCACAGTTCCCCTCTGGATCTACCCTTGGATCTATTTAATACTTGTTTTCAATGAAATGACTATTTATTTATTATTTGAGTAATACACAAACATAAATTTAAAATTTTCTAATTTATGTAAAATGTACGTTGTATTGTCAAAACACAATCAAATTTCTATTTCTGTGTGAACCAAACTTTAGATTTCCAAGAAATATATTCAGAAATAACATTTCAAACAATTACTATGGTACCAACACTTAGGTATGACTGTTTTATAAAGTAGGTAGGTTTTCCATGCAATTTTTTTTATACATTAAATTGTATTATAAAAGTACCTATTACATTTGTCAGCATTATATTTTCTATTAGTGTTAACCTCTATTTAATCCTAAAATTAGTTATTTAAAAAGAAAATAATTTGTATGAATATTATGTAATATAATAATTAAAGCTATAATTTTTGTACATTTTAGTAATAGGTATAAAATTGTGTTTACATGATTGGTTGTATTGCTTTAAATAATTGTATGATATTACATTAGTAGTTAGATATTTCATTATTATGCATTGGTGTTTCAAAGGAGGAGAGGTGCGAACATAGATTTAACAGTACATATTTTCAGTTCTAAAGGCTTGCTGGGAATTATATTTTATTACTAAACTGCTTGCATTCATTTTTTGTTGGTACTACAGATCCCCCTGAATATTTTTTCTAGTTCTACTTATGAGTATAATATACTACTTATTTTATATTATTTAGTATTATAATTGATTATATTATTATAATATCATTTACAAATGAAATTTTAGCATTAGCCATTAATACATGTTTTCAAAATGTAACAGTGCAAGGCACACACTTGTATTACATTAAAAATATAATGCTGTCTTTTACCATCAATCTATAAATTGTGCATTAAGCTATGAACTATAAAATCATGCATACTCAAACAAAATCATACCTGTAGAACAATAGTCCATATACATTCATAAAATATTTAAAATAGTGGTAATAAATATTTAAGTGTAATATATTACACGTGAGGGTATATTAAATATAAATAAGTATTTTATAATCACACCCGTCTACCCCTTTGCCAGCCTTACCTATTTTTACACCCATTTTTAATATAAATATGAATATTAATTAAAAACATTAAGTACTTTGTGCAAAAGCCAATAAGTAATACCACAATCTTAAATATTAATTAGTTTTTCTTGTACTTGATATAGATGTTCATAATGACCTCATCAAATTATGTATTTTTTTAATATAACATGAGTACATTTGAGATTTATATTTTATTAAGGTGCAATATTTTTCATTTAGTATAATAAATAATATTATAGTCTATAGATACCCATAGGCCACGGTTCCATGATTAATATTCCAATTTTTAATGGCAAACTTGGCATGTAAACATGTGTTTATCACCCACACATAATATATTCTTATATAGTCATTTTTATCCACCTACAACCTGCAATGGTGGTCTCTCGAAGGTCAAATAGCGCTAACAATACATTTTATTTTGTACTTCAGGGTTCTAAGGAATTGCATTTAATTTTTAAAAATTGTAAGTAATTAGTAAAATTACCACTAAAAGTCTTAAATAAGTAAATATAAATTGTATACATTATACTTTAAATATTTAAAATTGCATGTATTTACAAAACAGTTTCAATATAATTATAATAAACAACTAAAAAGTAAAATTTAATCTTAACTCTTATTAGCAGCCTTAACTACAGGTTTTCTATTCACATTATCATCTTCTTTCTCAAATGTGAAAGGCTTATCATAACCTAATATACGCTGATAATGCATTACATCATCAAATGCTTGTGGATCCACAAATAGAGGGAATTCTTTCGCATAAAATGTGACTGTCAATTTTTGTGTCAAAGGCAATCTTACTTCAAATGGTTTAAACTGAATCTGAAATAAAATTAAATATTTTTAGTTAGATGTTTACTTAGTTATGTTTATTTAATCAATTTGATTACAATTTTTTCTATTAGTGTATTAATATTAGTAAAGTTGCTCATTGAAAAGTTAAAAAGTTAATTTCTTTAAGCTTAATTAGTCAGTTAATTTTTTAATTAACTTCACTATTTAAATTACCCATTGTAATAATTAAGATTTTTCGGATTAATAAAAATATTTAGTTATTCATTAGGTATGGAACAGCTGTTGTTAAATATTTAAGTGTCACCTAAGTAGAAATAAAAATAATAATTTACCTCTTTTACAACTAAGTTCAGTTAACATTTTCCGACACATTAACTTTAAATTTATTTTGTTAACTATTCAGAATTAACTCATGGCTTAAAATTTGTAACAATGACTTAACTTCACTAAGGTAAAATTAATTAATTTCATTAACTTTCCCACTTTAAAAAACTAGGGCTCGGGCTAATATAATTTATTTGTTTATTTAAAATAATACCACTACAGTAATCTATTTTAATCATAATTTAATCACAGTGAATAAAGCTTTTAATATCAAAACAGGGAAAATTATTTTATCTTGAAACTAAAAACATTTGTTTTAAAAAAAAAATTAACATAAGTATCTTGTTATGTTAAGTATAATTTTTAATATTGTTAAAAAAAAATTTTAAATCGTTCACAGGTCTATGTTAAATAATTTTGCAACTTAGAACGCAATTTTTAGAACATTGAATTGAGCTCCTCTAAGTTAGACTCAATTAGCAATATATATTTTCTATGAGTAAGTAATTTTAATCTAAAATACATTACTTATACTTGCCTTCCTAGGTTTTAAAAACAATGAAATAGTTGTGGCATTGTACTCATCATTTTTTTCGTTATATTCAATTGACGTCACATATTTTCTTGTTACCAAATGAATGAGTATTGGTGTAATAAATGTAAAAAATCCAGCAATTGTGCATACGCCAATGGTGGCTGCTAAACTACTTCCCACTTCTGCAGCTTTTTGTATTACCATTGGCTGAATACACAAACCTACAGCACTGGTCATAAATGATACAATTTTCAAGTTACGGATTCGTGGACCCAACGTTCCAATGTAGATGTTTTTCCACTCTGCGTCATTAGTCTGAACGTTGATACTGTTTATCTTAGACTCGGTGGATGACTATAATTGGATACACATATTCATATTAATGATTGTAATATTGTACATTTGTCGGCACTTACATGTTTGAGGCAGATTGCTGTGGCTGAAGGATGTTGAATATTTACTTTGTTCAAACAACTCCTGAACTGTGAAATACGACAAGTACGAAAAACGATTGAAGAATACATGATCTTAACTATGTATGTAAAAAAAAAAATGAAATACTATAAAACGTTGGAATATAACTTATAAGTAATAAACGCAGACACTAAACCTAGTTATATTGCGTTACCTATTAGTTATTAAAATAAAAATTATAAATCATTAAATGTTAACACAAGATTCTGAAGATTCGAACATGATATGATTTTTATGATAACGATACACAAACACATGGACCAGGAATGGTGATAAGGTGGCCGTAAGGAATAAATAGACAGTGGTGACCATAGAAGAGATAATATGCCGGCTTCCGTTGTCTCGTTATAATTTTTATTTTCTATCGATTGTTATGGTTTATGTTCGTTCTACAAGTTTAAAAATTTACTAAAAGATCAAAAATGTACTCCTTTTCAAATTTGGTAAAAGGAGTTTAAAGGAGTGTAATGATTTTGCTAAATTATCGTTGACAAACGAAGACAGTTTTATAATTTCACTCATCCACGAATTAAGATATTCTATTTTACGTAAACTAGACTTAAAAATGAATTTTTCCATAATTCTATTTCACTAGTTTTGTATTTTAGTATTTTACTGAGTAAAATTTTACTCCAGCCCATTAAAAAAAGAAACCGTAAATGCGAGCAGACAACGAAATAGTATAGAACACGGTCTTAGAAGATATCTTCTTGGTATAGAATAAGGCAGTGCTATCTAGCGACGGAAGTAAGCGGGGGGCTTGTAAACGGAAAGATTTTAAGGAGTTCAAAATAGGCAATTTAAAATAAGGTTCCTTTTTTTAACAATAATTTTGCAAAATCATTATACACTCCTTTAAACTCTTTTTAACAAATTTGAAGAGGAGTATAATTTTTAATCTTTTAGATGGTTCCAATAAATTTTCAAAATTGTAGACTGAACATAAATCATAGCAATCAATACTCAATAGAAAATAAAAATTATAATGAACCCACAAGGGCCGGTATGTACAATCATTTATTGTACAAGTCACCATCTCGCCGTCGTGCACAGGAACGTAAGCTTTGTATGACATTTTTGTCAATCCTACATTCCTACCGATGGACCTGATAACGCGATGAGACTATTGAAAACTGATTTGAATTTGTTTTTACGTCTAAATGAGATCTATCTGGCCAATTATAAGGTATTCAAACAAAATGTATAGGAGTTTAGGAACCACACTTTAAAAAAGTAGCTGATCGATCTCAAGTGTACATATTAACAAATTCAAATCAGTTTTCAATCGCAACTGGTGTAGAGATCTTCTTAACCTATAAAATACATCTATAATTTAGATTACTCATAAAAAAATTATTTCATTGTAAAAGGTGACTTGATTGCGAACCTTCCTACACGTTATCCTAAGTCATTTATTGTATTATACCACATCATATTTCCTTATTGTATATAATGTACACAATTTACATTTTCAATGCCAATTTTTAAAAAAAAAACTGAGTAGAACAAAAATTAACACAACGATTTTTTTATAGGCATTTAATGTTTTTTTTTTTTTTATTGTAATTTTTTATATTATTTTGCACCCATTGATAGAACCGAATAATAATATATTTTGTTTATATCTAGCATTAATAATATATCAATGTAATATCGTATATGAAGTAACATAGGTAACATCAACGGTATTTTCAGGAGAGACCGCTAAATGACGAAAATTCCTATTTTTCCGTAATTGAATCCACGGTTACCAACGAACAAGTAACAACACGATACAACAAGAAACACAGCGTAGGTGTCGAGCCGCGTGGACGGTGTGCAGGCGCCTTTCCCCAAGGTTTATAGATAATACAGGTTGCCTCATATAGAAATTTTGAAATTTTGGGAGTGGGAGAAGATAACGCACTGACGTCATTGAAGTATACAAACCACNAATACTACAGTGATTATTATTAATATAAAAAAATTTAAATAAGAAACAACTAAGGCATTTACTATTTTATTAATTATATAGGTACAGTAGTGTCCCTAAATATTAAAACTTAATACTCAAACATATTAAAATCACATAACACTTCAATTTTTAGTTAAGTACCTATATTAGTGAACCACATATGATAATATCATAATCATTGAATAAGAGAGCGAATTTTATACTTCAATGACGTCAGTAGATAAGGAATAGTGCGGGGTGATCGATTTGTTTACATGACTTTGAGGCAACCTGTATTATCTATAAACCTTGGCCTTTCCCCACTATTTTTTGATTCTATTATCACTGTGTCGCATATTCGCTTAGCACTCCTGAAAAATATTTCATATAATCTGTGGTTACATTTAGTACTATACTGATCTAGTACGATGTTAATTGTTCGCATACCATTTAATTTTTTCTAATAGTTTTTCTGTTTAGGTAATCTGGGTTTGGTATATGATGTTTGATATTTGACACGGTTGTTTTACATGGGATATTGATAAACGCTGTAAATCTTATATTGTCTTACAATAATACAATCTTACATCAAGAGTTATTTTACAGAAAATGGAAACATGTAAAATATTTTCTTTCATTACACATTTTTAAAATCCATTTAGTATTGCTATATTTTTCAAACTTTTAATTTAATAACAGAAAGAAAATAAATTTCGTTCCAAATCACCCGGGTTGATGGCACTCCAACAGTTTCCGTACGTATTCATTTTATAGTTAATATTATACAGTGATATTGTTTTATTAATATTAATTTGAAGCGTTGACCCTATTAACGAGTTCTAGAATACAAGCAACTCCGAAATACATCCCTTAAATTGCTACCAAATATTGTTATACCACTTGACATGCCATTTAACAAATAATTTCTGCAATTATGTATTATGCATTCTTGTTCGGGTATAAATGTATAATTTTATATACTTTTGGCTATTAAAATATAGGTTAAGCTATAATGATATAAGTATCTGTAAAATGGCCTGCTAGCCATAATAACTTAACAGTTAACTAGGTTCGTAGCCAATAGGGTACCATACATCCTCTTTTACAAAGATTAGTCTCCTTTTTTTGGGATATCCTCATCTGCCGTTTTGTTTAAAAAAAATTGTAAATATTTTCTTTTTCTTGAAATTGTACTGAAGTTTCTTATTTTATATTATTGATATAGAATAAAGCTACCTTTTATTTACATCTATTACCTATACAATTTTCTGGTAAACTCAATTCTATTATTGCGACTATCAAATCATATGTTATTGCGACACACTGTGTTAACCATATTATTATTAAGACCATTTTGTATTCTTTATTACATAGTATTACATTGCTCCGTGACCCGCATAGTACATACCCTTCTTTCCGATACAATTTTATGGTAAATCCTAAATTTTTTATGTAAAAATGTGCATTACCTAAAAAGTTATCTTGTAATTACAGATGTTTGAATTTTGAGCAATGTCAAAGTGGTCTATTGTATGTTGCTTCTTAACTTAAATAATTTGTTGAACAGCAGTCCATCCATCTGCTGTAAAAAATTGTTTAATATCTCCTACAGCTATTGTTCCATCTATAATCGCATTTGGTACTCTTTCAGGTTTCGATTCTACACAATTTGCACTGATTAAGGTCTTTGAATCCATTGCATGCATTAACAAATTTTCTTCTACTAGCCATTTCAACATTCAACATTTGACATTGTTTCATTTTCATTGGCAGTTTTCGAAAAGAAACTAACCCTACAGGAGCCATTTTTCTTTTTTTTGGAATGCCAATTGCTGTCTTATCGTTACCTACAAATTATATTGTTGTGAGCGTTAGTAAGTGAAATGATAAAATATAAATGTCTTATACTAATATTATATTTAACCTAACTTTTTGGACGGCCTCTTTTTGGAATTCTAGGTGGTAAGGTTGGTAACTCATTGAGTACAGACTTCTGAGGCTCATTTAGTTCTAGCTCTTCAGATCTGTCAGTTTCATTGTCATTTAAAAAACCTAAAGAATAAAATAGGTATGTATCATAATGTTGACATAATACCTAATACTTTCAAATCGATTATTTGTTCGGTTTCCTATAACATATAACAATAGCATAACAAGTACATAACTGAAACCAAACCTGATAGTATTAACATATAGTACAATTATACCTAGGGTCATGAATTTGGATTGGAAATATATAACCCATTCTGTTATGATGCCGTGCCAATTTTTGTTAAAGTAATCGATTACCGTGTTTATATTAGTGCTCTCAAGTTTTTTGTGAATTTCATCATAATGTGTTGCATTTTTTGCATAAACAATGTCTTGTATTATTTCCAAGCACATCAGTCTTTCTTCTACATAAAACGTTTTCATGAAAACTAATTCATTTAGGTCTAAAAGACTTCTTACCGTAGTTAATTTTCATTTTTTCACAGGTGATTTCATGTGACATAGACCTCAAACAATGAAATATGCATATTAAAATTTGTGAATCTGGAAATTGTTGTTTAAATACATTTCTTTCAGTAAAATCCTTGTCCGCCATTATGCATTTAATATGTTCCCACTGAGGATTGTGCTTTTTAAAAGTTAAAGCCATGTCAGTAACGTTTTCCTTGTCTTCACTTGTGAGGAGACAGAAACCAACAATTTCACTGAGACCGTTACTGTCAACCACTATAGTCATGTTGAAGGCAACAAAAAGTATATTAGATATAATATAACAATTGGTTATAGATAGTTAAGAGTAAAGATAAATACCTAAAAAACGTAGAGGCATTCTTAAATCATTGACTTTGTATATGGCATCCACAAACAATACCTCAGGACACAAAGAAAATATTCTTTGCATTTCTTTGTCCTGATAAAAAATGGCTTTGAGCTCATTTTTTTCATTTTTTAAAATTTTTACGGTGGCATCAGTTCCTCCATAACTGGTCGCCAAAACTTTTAAGGCGTCTGATGCTGGTGATTTTGATGTGACCAAATTATGGTATGTCTTTTAATGTTACTATTTTATTATGTGTCTTCATCAAATCATTTTGTAAAATTTTTTTATTTACTTTCATTGTCACTAATTTTGATGCCATAATTTTAGAATCAGTATCCAGTCGTCTTTGTCTAAGTTAGTGATCATACATTGCCTTGCTACATATATGATTGTGTTCACTAATAAAACTTTTTGTTACTAATTTTTCCCCACAATCGTTGGGTCTAACAGTCAATAACACGGGGCAATTTGACCGAAAAGAACTGGAATAAATATCAAAACCAAGATGTCTTAAACATTCAGTTACATAAATTATAAATATTATTTTAATTATATCTCTGTTGGGGCCGAATACCTGTTGACTGAGTCTTATACTTTCCACTTCTTATACACCTATAATCGAGAGCAACATATTCTAGCATTGGATAATGTGCCTTTTTAGTCCTCTTTTTATAGCACCTTCAATAATCCTAGAACTAAACTTGGTGAAGTTGGACATAGTTTTGTTTTCATAATTTGAAATGGCATTTTCCAACTCAACTATAGACAAAAATTCCTTGCCAATTTCAAGTTCCAAAGACTAAAGTAATAATTAAGTATTATAGATTATATTATATTATTATTTTTATTATTATTAGATTATACTACATTATTTTACAATTCATCTTACTTGATTCTCAGCATTTGTGTAGTTGTCCATTTTGCTAAATTAAAAAAATGATAAAAATCACTAAAATGCAAAATATAAAAATTAATAATTTAGTTGTCTGTCCATTGTAAAATAATATCACAGCAATTATAAAAATTAATAATTCAGTTGTCTGTCAATTGTAAAATAAAATCACAACAATTACAAAAATTAATAATTATTAATTCATAATTCAACTAATACAAAACACAAAGATTTTCATACTATACAAAACTATGGTATACTGCTCAGTGCTCTTATATAAATAAGTATATAATAGTACCTAATATAATAAATATGTTATTATTGTAAAATATTTAAATTTATGCGGGAAATGGTTTATCATCATACTATACCTGCAAGTTGTTTATCTAGGTATATTGGAACTTTTGACTATATGCCTATGACATATATATATATAATATTGATAGGTATAAACAAAATAATTATATTACTTACTGATTTCTTTATAGATTATTGATATAACCATTAACCCAAGTAACTTAAATAATATTTATATGTACAAATACAATACATAGGTATTTTTGTTTGTAAGCTATCATTTTGGAATACCTCTAAAATATTTTTACTGTTATGAGCAGGTTACATTAAATTTTCCCCTTTTTTTATTAGACACATCTGGTCACTCACAGCTATGAGTGAACTTTAAAGAATCTATATACATAGATAGTCATAACTCATAAGTATGAGTCTGAAATTGATGTCCTTAAAATTGAGTTGCTTAAATAACTTTAATTTCAGAAATTTTCGAGTTTTTTTAATTGAGATTTAATTTTTATTTTTTAATTGGTTAGGAAACTTATTTGGGGCTTATAAATGTACATACAAAATTATTTGCAATGTAGATAATATCTCCCTACAGTTTTATATTAGATTATGATTTAATAAAAAATAAAATTTATTATGTAGCATATCTTTTGTGTGTCATGATTTATATTCAAATAAAATCAATATGTTCAGAACTTGTGAAAAAAAATGCAACAGTAGTAATATTTTTTTCATTTATCTATCAATACAAATTGTAACTTTTTTATCAAAATAAAGAAAAAAAATATTTATTATTTTTAAACCTAATAATAATGTAATGATTCTTCATATTCTTAAATATATTGGATGAAACAGTTTATTTTTATTTTTCCCCAATTAAAATGTTATGTGTTCTAGTTTCTGTGGTTTATATTTTTAACTAAAGTATAAGAAATTTGAAGTATGCTTAACACAAACTGTGTTTTCATCCTATTTTGTGCATGTGCATCACCTTGTGTTTATGTGCATTTTACATTGCATAAGATTAAATGGATACGTGTGTCATCATCTTGAGTTTATTGTTGGTGGCATGTATAAATTATACACTGGCACTCTGTCCCTCAAAAGTTTAAAGAAATGCAGTCTTATAATTGAGCATACTCTTTGCCACTTATACTATGCCTATGTCTATGATAGTATGATATTTAGTTTCTTGTATATCTAAAAAATATAAAAATAATATATAATGATTTGTGTATAACTGTGTAGTGATCTGTTGACTATAGGCGTCATTGAAAAGAAGTGGATGAGGTGTACTTGTTGAAATAATAGCATTGACCGTTGTATTTTGCATAATTTATTTTAAGTGTTTCAAATTAAATTTATAACTGCGAGGCTATATATTGTATCAGAATATCCAACTCGGTAAATTATTCTAAGTGTCAGAAAATAAACGGTTTGACTCAAACATTTTCTAAGTCCAAAGAATTTGCTGTTCAAATTATTTTAAGTCCAAAATAATAAAACCAAAAGACAGGTGCTCTGGCTCATCTGGTCAAATCACATCTGAATATGGGCTGTATGGTGCTCTCCTATATAGACATACTCTCTACTTCTCCCAGCCCTCTTGATACGGGTATCTTTCTCATGAATGCCATGTCTGTTGGTAATTGTTTCAAAAATGCTTATGATATGCACGCTCTGATATGAATACACGTTCTGTTGCGGTGGCATTTTTGATTATCTACCGCATAGTGTCATAAAGTATTATTATATTTTATACTTTTTTTTATATAATCATCGTCCTAATGGCTTGTTATTATTTGTACGTCCTCATAATTTGTAGCATTATCACCTAATGTCTAAGCCTCTTCTTTTGAATTCCCGTGGTTTATGCATTATCATAACCCTAACTTAATACTCAGACCTGCTTTCCTTGGGTAATTATTTTACTATTGTACCCCTGGTCTACCCTTGCGTTATGTGGTTGTAAAGAAATGTAATGTAGATTATACTATAATTAAGAAAAGCGGGACGCCAGTCCATAGCAACTGTAAAAGTCAGACATTCATTGAATAGTCTTTTATCTTTTTATATGAGTAATTTTATTTCATTATTTAGCTACTTTACTTTAATTTTGAATACTATTATGCCATATAACAATACATTTTTATTAAATCCAAGTATAACATGTATGTAATAATTGTTATAATTATGTTCTAGGCCAGTAACAGTCAACAGATGTCCTGACTCCTGAGATTACAAATAATTAAAAAGGTTTCTAAAAGTGCATATACCTACTGAAGAAATAATAGCTTGTTTGAAGATATCTGAAGGTATACAAAAACAATTTAGTTCAATACTATATTTTAAGAAGAACCTTGTTATTGGCAGATGTAACAGATCACACATGTACAAACCATAAATGTACAATACTAAATAGATTTGAGTTAAATAAATGTAACACAATTTAATCAAATTTCACCCGTTACACAGATATTATATAAAAGTGGTCAATTTTTATGTTTGATTCTTGATGTACATATATAGGAACGTGGAATATTAGTATGGGAAGAAGTTATTAGAAAAAATAATTATTTCTGAATAAAAAGCCCAGAAGAAAACTTAATTCCAAAAACATGGGTGGAAAATTAAAAACCGATGTTAAAAACAAGCTTGAGACTGAATTTTCCACTTTATTATCTGCTGAAAACTCACAGACTGAAAAATTAGATCCATCCAGTAGTATTCATGTTAAACATATTCCAATTGTAAAGAAACCTGCTTTAGGTGATATATGGGATGTAAATGTGTCAAATATAAATTCATTTAAATATTTCCATGTACAGAACATAAACAACTATGAATATATTCAATCAATCTGTTCAGAATTGATTAAATATGATTCGACATCAAAGAAGCTTCCAAAAGTAGGACATATAATTGCTGCACGCGATTCCAATGGTGCATGGTATAGAGCTAGAGTTCAAAGCATTACTGAGTTAGGACTAAATGTATCCTATATTGATTTTGGAACTTCTAAAGTATCAGTTACAGAATATAAAGATTTACCAAAAGAACTTGCCAGTATAAAGCCAATGGCTTATCGTTGTTATTTTAAGAAAGTATTACAAGAAGATGAATATATACTATCAGTTAAAGATTTATTTGATTCTATTTATAATTATTATGGTTCTTGTCAAATAACCGCCACTTTTTTAAGCAATAAAGATCCATATTTAGTTACATTATCACATAACGGTAAAGATGTTTTTGATATTTTGTACAGTTTAGTTTGGGATGGTATTGTTCCTAGCAAATCTAATGATCCAATAAATCTTGCAAAACATAAAATGCTGAATCAAATGTTTTCAAAATCTAAGATAGAGGTTGTCCGTGTTGAACCCATTTTTTCCATAAATCATTTTTATGTTGAAACTGAATTCAGCTATCAAATTGGCAAGACTATTGGAACTGAAATCAAAAATCAGACAAAATGGATTCCGGTATTACATCCTGAAGAGGGTCAAATAGTGATTGGTAAAAATACCAATGATTTAAAATTATATCGGGCGAGGGTCATAAAAAAAAACCAAGATTCTGAAGAGCATACATGTTTTTTAATTGATTGCGGGAAATTTGAAAACTGTTTTGAAATGTTTGAACCCAGTGTTTATCTACAAACAGCACCTCCAGTCAAGATACACTGCTCTTTAAATGTATCAATAAATGTGAGTGATCAGATACTGGAAAGCATGAATCTTGCTTTTATTAATGAAATAGCCGAATGCGAGGAAAAATCAAAAACCATGAAAATAAAAAAAAATGAAAATACATGTCTAATCGACTTGGAGATTAGTGATTTAAATATCATTCAAGTTATTAAACCATACATAGTGAGAGTGTTAAGTATTAAAAATTGTAATTCTTTCAAAGTTCGGTTGAATTCATTCGGAGCACAAAAAATCTCAGATGTTCTAAATTCGACAATAAAATTTTTTCCTATCTCCAATCCAGAACTTTTCCAACTATATGTTGTTAAAATCGACAAACAATACAAGAGAGTAAAATATATGGGCAAACATAAGAGAGGTTTTAAAGTTATAATTGTAGATGGAGTACCTGATAGAGTAGTAGTCAATGAAATTTATGCACTTCCCAAATCAATAATGAATGTGAAAACTACAGATTTGTATTGTTCTCTAGGGTTAAAATATATAACAGATTATTCTAATAAATTATTTATTGACATTTGTAAAAATGGCAACACCAAATTTAAAATGGTTGTCATTACAAACGATCACATAAACGATCATATTGTTAAACTTTTTTTAGATTCCAAAGATGTCACATCAATGATTTGTAGCCAACCTTCATAATTTTTAATTTTATGAATAGCTTAAGAAACAAAATTATTGGCTGATTTATTATTGTGAATTATAACAAATTTATTCAAATTCTGATTTTTGTAATTTTTATAATATCTTCAGACAATTTTTTCAAGTTTTTGAATTTTTTTATATTACTCGAGGATTGTCTTGTGGCGATACAAACTTCTGCTTTTCAAATGAGATTCCACTTTTTACTGTAAATTATTTAGTGGATAATTTTTTTTAAAAATGTGTGTACCTAGTTCAAAATGTGAATGATTAGTTTCTAAGATATTAAAATATATGTACTAAGGATAAAGTCCTTAAAAATAGTTTTACAAAAATAAAAAGTAGACATGATATTGGAACTAGTATTTATTATTATTACTATCAGTGTTAATAAATTAATAGAAATGACTAAAATATTCTAATCACCATAGCCCCCATATCCTATACACTCATTATCACAGACATTTTATCCTTAGAACATAAAGTTAATTAACTCAAAAATTACTTCTACACATTTTGATTCTGATACTTAAATTTTTTTAGGAAAACTATCCACTGAAACTGAATAATTTACAGTTAAAATGGGGATTCTTACTTATTTGAAAAACAGAAATTTTCATCTCCTCCATACAACACTCCATAAGTAGTGCAAAAATCTCAAGAATTGAAAATATTGTCTTTATTAAAAACTCTTTAAGTATATTTAAAAATACCCTGAATAACTGTATCAAAACTGTAACACTTTTTTGCATATCATACCAGATGTTAATGGACAGTCTCTTGAATTTTGAAGTCTTTCAAATTGATTGACCTTATAGCAGGTCCAAACAGTCTGCTTTATTTAGATTTTCCTGCCTACGTTGGGAAAAGTTAAGTTTATGTTATGTATTCTAACCCTGTTTGAACCCAGAATTATAAAATTATACAAATTGTATATGTAAAATGAAATATTTTTGGAGTTAAAAATCTGTGTTATGAATGATGATTTGAACAATAAAAAAAATATATAAATGTTTGTCTACGCTATTTGTCTAATTTTTGTTTTATAACCAAATAATTCAAAGAGTTGGGATATTCAGTTTTTTTCCTCTTGGGAAATTATTGAACTTGATTTCATGTGATGTAATGTATGCCCCTTAATTTATCTTAAACTGAGTACAATGTAACATATTGTGTGTGAAGGGTTTCCTGGTTCATTATTATTGCTCATCAGACATTATTTTTGACAGTTACGACTTAACACCTCACTCCAACCACCCAAAGAGTTAGAGGTATTGAATAGCTAGAAAACTATAAATTATAATATCACAGAATAACACCTATTGACGTATTTCACTTTCTGGACGTGCCTAATAAACTCCGATAAAAGCATTGTACTGTGTACTCGATAAGATCATAGGGAAATTGGGATTTTCCTGGTAGGCCCCCATCAATATTATACCCAGAAGTCCCAAACTCAAAAATTTTAAAAAATAATTAAATTTAAAAATAATTGTTATAATTTCAATACTTTAATATCATACTGGCTGGTTGCTGTACAAATGTACAATATTAATGCGTATATTGTGTAATATTTGTAGTTTGTACATTCCACTAGGCACAACTAATAACCACTTGATGACAATAATCATTAACAATTACAATTATTAATATGTCCATAATTATAACCAAAGTTCGGGACTTATAGCATTTGCAAACTTTTTTTATTTATTGTAAAATGTAGCAGAGTGCGAAATTAATTCATTTCTCAATGCCGTGATATCAAAACCAAATCTAAAATTTGAATGTGCATATTTTTGCATATTTCATACATTTTGCCGGAAACTGCTTATTTTTAAGTTATGTGCCTAGTTTGCATATTTTAGAAAAAATGTTCAGCATTTCACCCGATCTAAAAAAGAAAATAGTAATGCAGCTTACTCACAGTCTTATGTACCTATTTGCTATGTAAAACACCCAACTCCTTATCATTTTCGTGGTTTGAAAATATTGTGATGGCCTGACTGCAGGTACGTTTCGCCAGCACGGCCACTTTCGAATCTTAAAATCAAACCTTGACAGTGTTATGTACTTTATTTTGCACAATTTTATACAACCGAAATAAAATTGTTTACACCCCCCCAACACGAGAAAACCCAATTTTCCATGCGAGTGCTGGAGAAAGGTTACACCAGCACTGCCATTAACCTATTATTATAAAATTAATATTTAAACTTCCCAATGTGTATTTTTTCTACGTGGAAATGTTTTAATATGCTGTGGGGACGTAATTCATATTCGAACTATGTGTCTTACCAATATCGTCACATTTCCTATTGCGCGAGTAGGTTATGATATTTATTCACATTTAGATTGTACAATTAAATTTTGATAAAAAGGAAATACAAACTGTAGGTATTTTACCGATAATATGATGTTTAACAACTTGTAATAAACTAGGGTTATCATATTTTTTTTAGCAAAAACCGGGACAAACTTTTTAAAATTTTTTTTTTTTTATTGATTTCTGATTTTCAATATAATATTTAATACACATTATATAGATAATAATATTTGACGCTTTAAAAATTAAAGAATACATAATAAAATACACAATTTTTAATCTGTGTACGATGTGTTCTCCGTCGGCATAAAAGTTTGTGTTGTTTGATACTTGGCTGAACTATGTACTTTTTGAAGCAATGTTTTGTTGGCAAGTATTAACTCATAAAATTGACAACAAGACATGTTATCAAAACATTGCTTCAAAAAGTACATAGTTCAGCCAAATATCAAACAACACAAACTTTTATACCAACGGAGAACTGATTAATTCAGAAGTAGGTACAAGTCATAGAGTTGAAACTTTGACTATGGACAATTGTATGGTAAACAAATGCAACTTCTTTAGACGCAAGTTTTAACGCATTTTCGTCTGCTTTTAATGGAGTAAAAAATGTACGTACCGAGCTATTGGTAACATGTTTGCATGTTCTGTTTTTTTGTTTTGAGATGATCATTTATGTCAGATAGCCCACCATGGCTAACCGAAAACGAACTTGAACAAATTGTACAATAAACGTCATAGTCGTTATCTGCTTTAACTTTTTTAATAAATTTAAATTCACTTTGAAGTGTTTCGTTAAATTTACATAGACGTTTTGGAGCCATATCGCACCTTCACGAAATACCGTACGGCAAACACAGACTATGGTCAACTGATTAGTTCAGTACAATTGACATAATATTAAATAATAAATGGTTGATCCGTTTAGCGATAACTAAAAATATTATCGCGACGGTCGACGCAACTGAAATACGACGAAATACGTACGTCACAGAGTTGGGAAAATAATTTAAAAATAGATTTTGTCAATTATTCAACTTGTTATTTTATAACTATACCTTTTATATTTGTTCATAATTATCTCAGATCTTACTTGTTACTTTTTTTCATCCAATGTCTAATAAAAGACACTTATAGGGGATTCGATACCGATCTATTTTAAGGAGTTGAATATAGGCAATTTATATAGTACGTGTGTGTAGTAACTGATTATTAGTGTGAGTGACTCCCGCACCACCACTATTTCTATTATGACTCACGCACGCTGATACACATGTCAACGTGCACAACGTCGCGCTCGCGAGCAAATTAAATAGACCGTTTTTTCGACTAAAATATCCAATATTTTGTCCATCATTCCGATGGACCTAATGATACGATAAGACTTATAAAAACTGATTTGAATTCGTTATTATGTCTTCTTGAGATCGGCCTAGCCACTTTTTTGAATTTACAATTTTAATTCAGAGTAATTAAAACTTACATTTTTTTAAGTTTCACAATTTCTAAATCCATATTATAAAGATTAGGGGCCGAAATTTGAAAAAGTGAAGTGGCCGATCTCAAGAAGACATAATAACGAATTCAAATCAGTTTTTAAAAGTCTTATCGCATTATTAGGTCCATCGGACTGATGGACAAAAGATTGGATGTTTTAGTCGAAAAAATGGTCGGTATCGAATCCCCTTAATTATTACAATATTAATATAATAATTATTAATAATTAATAATTATTTTATATTATAATATTTTAACGGGACTCAGTATTCAAACATGGACCCAATTAGTATTATACCTACAATTTCACTGGACTCAATTGGTTTATACCCTAAAACTACCCGGCATCAAATAGATACATAAGTCTGCGAGTAAACTGAATTACTATTTTCTTTTTTAGATCGGGTGAAATTTGTGAAGTTGAAATTTTGAAAAATTTCCTAAAATATGCAAATTAAGCACAACAACGTAAAAATAAAAAGTTTCCCGGCAAATGTTTGAAATACTCAAAATCTTAACTTTAAATTTATCGAGCTCAAAATTTTTTTCTTTAACTTTAACTGAAGGAAATTTAATTGAATTAACTTAACTTGTAACAGTTAATTATTTTCATTAACTTGCTCAGCCTTAGTTTAGATATAGATCTAAAGTTCATGCTCTTGTTAAGGGCAACATTTCCCTTTATTTATAAATAAATATCAAAGTATTATTATTACTTTACTACATTTTGGTCATTAATCACATTAGACACTCCATTCTCGTATTAATAATTATACATAATAAAATAGGTGCCTATCCTTAGGACTATATATTCGTGTTATTCGCACACCTGTAAATTGAACATACTTGCAAAAGAAAACTGATAAATATTTATCAATGTATCATGTATATACCCAAGCCCAGCTTAAGATTATTTTGGGCTAAATAATTATAATAATATAATGTATCCATTAAGTACTCTTATATTCGTAAATTATTATAGGAAACGTACTACCTGTTAGACCTGTTAGGGGACGACTATTGTTCGATATTCATTATGGGAGTAGGGGGGGGGGGTCCATGCTGCCACCCTTAATCTGGACTTGAGCAGTTGAGCATACCTTTAGACAATATATTATAGTTATAGCCTGAATCAGACCTCAATAATAATATAATTTGTGATTAAATAATTAATGGATATTATGCAAAACTATTAAATTCATAGAGCTGGTTAAGTGTTTTATATTATAATTGTCTTTACCACCTGTCTTTACATACCTAT